GGGGCAACCATAGAAGTCACCCCAATGGTTACCTGATGGTTCCTCACTTGATGCTGTTGAAAATTACTTCATATTCATTGCTTTAAAGGACCACGTTTTATCCTTTATTCCTGCAGGACTCTTGCTGTAGATTGTGGGGATTATTTACATCTCAATTTATTTCTCAGCCCATTGGCTGCAATTAAAAATGGAATTTGGCACTCTCCAGAGCCCCTGCTGGAGACTTTCACCTTGTAGAAGAAAGGGGATTAGATGTGATGATTTATTTGGCTCGTGTACAGTCCCCTGACTGTACTGTGGCACTGAGCTGAAAGCAAGCTGAAATGATACCCAGTCCTCTCTGGCAACGACTCGCACCATGAGCAGAGTAAATCCTATCCCTTGACTAAAACCCTGTCTTGTTCCGTCCAAATTTGCCCGAGTTCCTGATGTGTGTGGGCTCTTGGTAGCACAAAGTTAAGGTTGGAGAAGGCAGTGGCTGCCCGCCAAGGCAGTGTGCCTTTAGGATGTTGGAATCTGTGCCTGTGTTTGTGTTGTCACGATGAGCCTTAGGCTGTGCCTATGAAAAGCGCAGAAAATTATTTCTTACAGTCATCCCACTCCATCTTTGAGAGTGAATTGGAAATGATGTTCAGAATCACAGCTCTGACATTTGATCATTGCTCTGTGATTACTTTTTATATTTTTAGGACCTATTGGTACTAAAGTCAAACAGAAATGTAGTCATAAATCTGGCAGAAGCTTTGCTTGCTTGCTTTCTTCTCCCCTGCTAAGCCAGAAAATAGACATGAAGAAATATATGGCCATGCCTAGCTTCTATCACAGCATTTAAAAACTGAGTATTTCTTTGAGGTGATTGTTCTGGGAGAAGAGATGGCAAGCCTGCTCTTTGTTAGGGTGAGCTTTCAGGACCATGGTGTCTTTTGAAACATCTTGAAGTGCCTTACTGCTTTCTTAGGTGCTCTTAAAAGTGTGTTCTTTTTGGACTTGGAGTTCTTTGTCTCTGCCTGATACTACTGAGGGATCATCCTGTAATACCCTTGATAAAAACCCAGCTTGTTCATACCAAAATACCTTTTTCTTCAATTCATTGCCATGCAACGTGCCTTGCAGGAAAAGATAAAACATCCCAACAAAGGGATACAGCTGGCTAGGACAGTTTCCTTTGCAGGAAGAGATACTGGTGGAAGGTTAATTTACTGAGACTGAAGTATATTAATTTTTGCAAAAGCCTTATTGCAAAATTTCTGATGTCCAGAATGAAACCTGGTCTGGAAGGGGGAGGGAGGGGGGGAGAGAAATCCCACCATTGCTTGTGAGAACTGTTTGTGAGAAGAAGAAAACTATAGAGGATAGCTGATGGCTTGTAGGAAACCCAGCTTCAGGTCCCCAAGCTAATTCAGGCATAGTGAAAACTTGCAGCAATTTAGTGACATCCAGTGTGTACAGACTGGATATTTATTGCTATTACTCCCTGAATTCTTGTCATGCAGTTGTTTCTGTTGATAATATGAACTCCTTGGATATTACTCTTGTTTTAATGTCCTTCAGACATTTTTTGCATTAATGAAGCTGTACTGTCTGTGTGCTATGATTTGCTAGGGATGTCTTTTCATGATGCAGAAGTGTCTTTAACCTTTGACACTTCCTCAGCATAGCAGCATCATGATGAAAAACAGTGAATACATGTAAAAGCTGCTCGTGGAAATTATTTCCCTTGGCAAATCCACTTCATTAAGGCCATGTAACTGATAGGAAAGCAACACATACAGTTTCCTTGACTTGAAGGATTTTTCAGTCTGTCTCAAACCTGATTGTCATTGCATCTTTTGACTTCCTTTTAGAAATCAGGAATACTTAGAAGCAATCCGTGGGCTGTGTCATCAGTATATGATTCAACCACTGGAAGCGGTATGTTTGGGTAGACTGAAAAAGAAAAAAAAAATGGGTGTATTTCCAACCTTAAAAGAGTACTTTTCCAGATTGTGTTAGAGCAAATACTCATTATTCTCTTTACGTGCTCACATCCCAGACAGTCTGTGGTGTACCTGGGAGGCAGAACTGTCTTGTCTCTCTTACTGAGGACAAATCCCACAGACTGTTGCCTTCGTGTTTGTAGGATTGTGAGCAGAAGGGACTGAACATGTGGCAAAATTAATAACTGGGTAGCATTCATACTTTCATCCTTAATTAAAGACAAGTGGGTATGTGAAATATATTTCCCCAGGGCTGTGGTGAGGGAATATCCACACATGTAATTAATCTAGCTGCTGGAAGTCACAATTTCACCACTAAAATGAAGCAGAAAGAGACACCAGCCAACAATATGGGCACACTCCAACATTCATTGCAGTCAATGGGAAACTTGTCTTTTTACTTCAAAGGGCATTGGACTGAACCCTGCAAGATCATATTAAAACACTTAGAATTCATTAAGCACTTATTCTTGTCAGACTGCAGTAAAAGAGCTAGAAAAACTATAGGTGGATTTTAATTTAACCCACTCCCTACACTTCTAATTGTTCCGTGTTTACACAGTTGGTTGCATATAGTTGGATTAGGTGATGATTTGCCTGATGATTTATTGTGTTTCACTGTTGCTGCATGGTATGCTTTTTTATAGCCTTGTTTCTGTGTACATGTGTGCTGATACAATCCTCACTAGATGTGATTTTCTTTGAGAGCATAGCTAGTAGCTTCTGTGAGCTGTAGTATTGTTATTTAGTAATCTTGGTATGGTACAACTTGTAACCTGGGGGTGGGACTGTAGAAGGGGTTCAAAATGTCAGCGTCTCTTCCCCTGAGGGTATTAGGAGCACCCCAGAGGGTGCATGATCCTTTTTATGGGATGGGGAAAGGGTCACAGAGCTGCCTGCTGCCATCACCATTGCCACTGTGTCCACTCTGTCCATTACTGAGAAAGCACAAACTGCTCCAAGCAATGCACGGTCTAAACGGGTGCTCTGAGCTGCTGCTGGGCCCGTGGCACTGGCAGGCATTGGTAACGGAAGGGAATTCAGGGGCTGGCTGGAGGTGTCAGGGTGCAGGAGGATAAATGTCATCCAACCTGGTTTCTGCTATTACTCACCTGGCTAACTGATGATTTGGGAATTTGGGTAGCCACTAATCTTTGTCTGATTTCAAAGATCTGTGGCCAATCAACGTATTAGAGAGAGCAAATCGTTGACTTGAAACAGATCAAACAGAGTGCTCTGAAAGCCAGTTCGTACCCAGTTTTCCCACATCTGGAAGATGCAGTTTAAATTGCATTGCATCTCAATTACTTGTTGTGGTTGGCAGGCTGTGTTCAGAGAAGCCTGCTAACTGATGCAACGCGAAGTTGGGAGTTGGCCTATTTGAAGATTTGTTGTGCTTACTTAAGGTATTTATTTATTGCCTCAGTTTTGTCTGCACTGAATTCATGCTAAGTTTTTAAGTAGCTAAAATTTAAAGAGGAATGTTTGCCAATGAAAAGGTAGGGCGTTTGCTACCTCTGTTTTCTGGTAAATTGGATTTTGGAAATCAGGACTGAACTGAGCACAATGCGCATTTTGTCCTCACAGCAAACTGGCTTTAGGCATCTCATGTTGGGACAAACGGTATGAGTTTTGTGGCTTGGGCTTCAATAACAAGAAAAGGCATTCAGTAATAAGGATTCATCCCATCAGACGAATAATGTGGTACCATTTAATTGGAATCATACAATCATTTATGTTCGAAAAGACCTTTAAGATCATCAAGTCCAACTGTTAACCTAGCAGTGCCAAGTCCACCGCTAAACTGTGTCCCTAAGTGCCACATCTACAGGTCTTTGAAGTACCTCCAGGATGGTGACTCAGCCACTTCCCTGGGCAGCCTGTTCCAATGTTTGACAACCCTTTCAGTGAAGAAATTTTTCCCAATATCCAATCTAAACCTCCCCTGGCGCAACTTGGGGCCATTTCCTCTTGTCCTATCACTTGTTAGTTGAGAGAAGAGACCGCCACTCACCTCACTACAACCTCCTTTCAGGTAGTTGAAGAGCAATAAGGTCTCCCTTGAGCCTCCTTTTCTCCAGGCTACCCAACCCCAGTTCCTTCAGCCACTCCTCATAAGATTTGTGCTCTAGACCCTTCACCAGCTTTGTTGCCCTTCTCCGGAAATGCTCCGGAATCTCAGTGTCTTTTTTGTAGCGAGGGGTCCAAAACCGAACACGCTATTTGAGGTGCGGCCTCACCAGTGCTGAAAACAAGGGGACGATCACTTCCGTAGTCCTGCTGGCCACACTTTTTCTGATGCGGGCCAGCATGCTATTGGCCTTCTTGGCCACCTGGGCACACTGTTGGCTCATGCAGCCTGCTTCATAATTCATCTGGTATGAAGCCTAGAAACTAAAAAACTTTCTCCCTTTATATACTGAAAGTTTTACTGTGCGGAGAGTGGGGACAGCTGAGAGTTTTGCTTTCAGAACCATGCTGGAAAATGGCTTTTCTTGCCCCTTCATGTCTGTAGCCTTGTTTTATAGCCAAATTGGTATCTTTAGCCGTTCATTTGTCTTGCCATTGGTATGGCAAGACGGAGTTTTCCTTTGATGCATGGAGCACACTGGAGGTGACCTCAGTCAAATACAGGATTTAGAAACTCCAGAGAGGAAGAAGATTTACTCTTTGCTTCCACATTGTGCAAAACTAATGAAAACACATCCTAATTTATTTTATTTTTTAAGAAAATATCTTGATTTTATTGAAAAAACAGTTGGTTTATAGGTGTGGCGAATATGCCAGCAATTCAGTGGAACCACAAGTAGGTCCCAAAAGAATAACTAATTTTTTGTTGACTTTTTTAATAATCTTCTGACTTATGTTGGTATAATGTGCCTATTCATGTTTGGCAGAGGAGTTGAGAAGCCTGCTTCCTGTCTGCAGTGTTGAATATAAAAATTAATTCATTATTGTATAATTGTTTTATATAAAAATCTACTTGCCCGTATGCCCATGTAAAATCTCTGTTTTCTTTTACAGAAAAGAGTCAAAGACGTCATATCTCCAATTGTATTTGAAGCTGCATACAGCCTTGGGGAACATGTCATAGAAAGAGGTAAAGAGGACAAGGAACTACCAGCTCTCAAGCCCATTCTCCGTTGGAAGAAAGGACAGAAGATAGCGCAAAGGAATCAGGTCAGGTTTGGAATATGTTATTTCCATAAAAGGCCTTTGGCTCTGTCTGATCCTGAGCTGACAGCAGAAGTGCATGTAAAAAGTGATGGCCAAGCTCTGGGTTGTTTGTACAGTCCCTATTGTTGCTGATGTCAGTGCTCCTCCATGACATAGGTTGGGCAGAACAAGGTGAGGTCACTTGCTTATTTCAAGTGCTTGCTTGTGCTGTGAAGAAGGAGACTGAATAAGGGAAAGGATGAGGAAGCTCCTGCTTCTTCTGGTTCTTCCCTTTCATTAGGAGGTTTTAGTGAAAGCCTTGGCCTTGGCTTTCTTTCCAGGCTTTGTTAGCGCCGGAGGAACAGGGCTGGCTCCAGGAGAGGACACAGGAGCTTGCCTCTCTCCATAAGGGGATAACAGTGGACAGAATAAAGAAAACTTTTCCTGGCTTGCTGTCCTCTTTCCTTGAGGGCTTCTCACATCCAGTCACATGGCAGGGGAAACCCACTCCTGCTGTTGTTATTGCAGGACAGGCTATGGTAAAATAGGATGGTTTTGTTTCAGAGAAAGGAAAGTGTAGGTGCAGCCATTTATTTATTAGGATCCTATTTTTCTCACCTGCAGTGCAGAAAACCGTTTTGTCTTTAATTTCAGTGAGAGCAAGAGAATTCCCTTACCTTTGAAACATTTGTCATTTAGAGATCCTTCCCTTACCCACCCCCAAACTGATCCCTAAGTAAATGAAATATATGTGATTATGCCACCTTTCTTGTTTGTCTGTCTTGACCTCACTAGTATCTTTGGAAAATGTTGCCCAATTTTGTTAGGTTTTGACAGGAATGATCAAGACAGTGCCTGTGAAGGTATTGAACGCCATCAGGGTTTTATGAAAGCAAGGACTCATGTCAAGGAGAGAGATCCTATTAATCGCATTTTGAAAGACTCTAGTTTGAGCATGGTCCTTGTAGATGCAGGACAGTCTGCAGAGGTAGGAGCCTGCAGGATAATTCAACCTCCCACTGTGCCAGCACCGGAGCATCCAACTGTAAAGCTCGAGGCTCCACAGGAAAACAGACTTCTTCTGTGGCTTGCAAAACTTCTTGTGTGTCAGAATTGCAGGATAATTTAGTCTGGAAGGACCTTTGTAGATCCAGTTCCCTGCTCGAAGCAGAGCCAACTTAAAAGTTAGATCAAGTTGCTCACAGTTGCATCCAGTCAAGTTTGTTTTCCAAAGCATGCTTACAGAGTTATGAGCTGGCATTGTGCATGAATAGGAAACTTTTTGGAAAAAAAACCCAACTGTGAAAAGTCTGTCTGGAGTCTGAGGCACTAGCACTGGATTTTTAGATCTGTTTTTTAACCCTGGGAAGTTCATATCTATCGAGCGATGTTTGCATCATCTGTAACACTACTTTCTGGTGTTGTTCATAAGAATAAGTTCTTGTGCTGAAATTGCAGGTCCCTGAATGCTACTCAAAAAAATCCAAACCTAAAATGCTTAGAGAGAGATGCTTTGTCATATACCCAAGTGTTTTGAAATGCATTTGGCTATAATCCTTGTACTTGGAGAAATGAGTATTTCTTCAAGTATGCTTTATTTTTATAAATGTATGAATGAAAGATGCATCTAAGAATTACTTATTTTTATGAAGAGGGTGTTAAGTATCTGAATGCTGCATTGTTGCAAACGTGATGAGAATTTGTAGAGAACTTTGGAACTTGAGCAATGTGCTGAAAACCTGAATGTTACATGAACAAAACTGCTTGGATGCTTTACTACTGGGTTTAGATGCAAAAGGTCACATTTTGCCCTGCAGGCATAGTGTCGGATCAATATTAAAATACCTAAATGCTGACATTATAGAGAAGAAACAAAAATATGTTGGGAATTTCCCTGACTTGTTTTCTTCTGTAATTTGGATGAGAGCGAGCCAGTTTAACAATCCTTTTCCATTCGCTTTCCAGATGTTGTTCGCTTAGCTTAGTAAGAAAAGGATTTTGACATGGGGTGTGCCTGCAAGTGTGCTTTCAGCTAAGGAAGTGGGCAGAGCTTCAGAGTTAGTGTGGCAGTCATGGTGGCACAGCCCTGACAAAATAGCCTCGAGTCATGGTGGTGGGGTCCTCAAAGACTGAATTCATGGGAAAACCAGGGCGTAGCATTCTCTTCAAGGATTCTTGTCATCTCGCAAGTAGAAATTGTTTTCCAAGGCTAAAAGGGATAGTCGGAACCAAAGTTTATGTAATAAAGGATTTACATCTTCAAAGAACTTAATGATTCTGGAGGGACTTTCTCCTATGGAGAAAGGCTTAGGCACTTGGGTCTCTTTAGTCTAGAGAAAAGAAGATTGAGGGGGGATCTTATTGATACTTACAAATACTTAACGGGAGGATGCCAGGGGGATGGGAGCAGTCTTTTTTCAGTGGCGCCCAGTGATAGGACGAGGGGTAATGGGCATAAACTTGAACATAGGAAGTTCCATCTTAACATGAGAAGGAACTTCTTTACTTTGAGGGTAGTGGAGCACTGGAACAGGCTGCCCAGAGAGGTGGTGGAGTCTCCCACTCTGGAGACATTCAAAACCCGCCTGGACGCTGTCCTGTGCAATGTGCTGTAGGTGACCCTGCTCTGGCAGGGGGGTTGGACTAGATGATCTCCAGAGGTCCCTTCCAACCCTAACCATTCTGTGATTCTGTGATTCTGTGGACGTTACATTTTGGAAGTCCAATTCAAGACAGATTTGGGCTTTGTTTTCAGAAGATACAGCATGGGTGAGGGCAGGTGGACAAGCTTAGTGTTAGTACTGAAATCTTTAAATACAGCTAGTGGTGCATGGTTTTCAAAATCCCTAGGTCCTAATAATCTAGTAAGAAGTGGCATTTTGAAACAGGAAATGTTGCTTTGAGGCACCATTAAGATAGTGTTAGAGGTTGATACTTTGGTAAAAAACACAGGTATCTGTTTTTTATGAATGAACGCAGGGGAAGAAACCAGTGAATAGCTGAAGGAACGGGAGGGAGCCACAACTGGCCAGGAGAGAGGGAGACTTCTGTCTGTTAAGATCCTACTGCAGGTCTGCTAGACCTACTTGAAAAGCCACACATCTTGCAAATGTGGGTTTGTAGTCACCTAGGTATGATTTTATTTAAACTAAAGTGATGTTAAAGGTGAAGTGATGACCTTCACTAGGATTTCAGTTTGTTTTTAATGAACCAGATGTTCCCTGAATACATGCCTGACTTCCCAACAAGAGCGTACAGCCCTATGGCTCACAAACAAGGAGGTAGGAAAGCCATGAAGTGGCCTCTTGACATGAGAATTAAAGATTATATTCAGCATACAAAGTTCTTCGTGGTGCTTTGTTCTATGCGTTAAGGAGTCAGCTTGGAAATAGTGTTCATGGATACCCACCAGCAAGAAGGTGTATCCCTCCCTTATGACATAATCACAGAAAAGGATTTTGTTGGATATTCATCCTTTAAATCAATATTACACTGCATGTGAGAGAACAGTGTGGTCTTGTACTAATTACTTAAACCAAAGTAGGGCTAGAGTAGTAAAGGAGTGCATGGATGTAGGATTTCATTCAAAATGCATTTATTTATTGGTCATCTTTATTTTAAAAGAATGCAAATTTTACTGTAAGGCAGTGCAAAATGCTTGTATTTAAAAAAGACAAAACAAAACAAAAAACCCACCCCCCCCAAAAAAAAAAACACAACCAAAAACCCCAACCAAACAACAAAACCAAACCTTGACTGTTCAGTGAAGGAGACTGCTTGTATTCCAAAATGAACTGTGCTTGAAACAATCAAATATGGTCAGAAATTTGAATGTCTGATTCATTTAAAGAAAAGGATCTTAACTGAAATTTCCTAGTGAAAAAGTATGCAATTGTGAGACTCATGTATTGGCCTTTTTTTGTAAGCAAAGAGGCTCTCATACTTCATTTTGAAGTAATAATGTAATTAAACTGGCCTGAGGGACTACTTGGCCTAGGATAAAGTAACAGTTGATTTCTCATGGACTTAATTATTTTCTTGGTTCTTGTATATGCTTACCAGAAACTATGGTTGCTACAGCTTCTTGTAATTATTTGCAGTAGCAAAAGCAAATACTTAGGGGTTAGTGTACATGTCTATTGATAGATGCCTCGGCAACTTGTACAATTGTGGGGTGGAGACTGGTTGTGTGGAGAAGATTACAGCTTTCCAAGCTGTATGTGGCTAGCCAGCTCAGTTTTCTTCAAACAGAAAATCTGGTATGGGTCAAGATTGGGTGGGGGGGAAAAAAACATTCTACTTTTTGAGTGTGTATTATGAACTTTAAATCTTCCCACCCTGAGGATGACTTTCCATTAGCTTCTTTGTTGCCTCCCAAATCCAGTTGCTACCTCCATCCTCTGGAAAAAACTAATAAGTCGTCTTACTTCAGGGAAATTAATGTGTATTTAGAACTTGGTTTGGCTTAGTTTGTCATAAGTGGTTTGTACTATAACATTTGTTTTTGTATACCCACTGTATAAATACATGTCAACCAAGAAGGAGAAAGATCTCCTGCCAAATACAGTGGGGATTTGTTCCTAGTAGTATTCAGTAATGTACCTTAGAGTTCAAAATGTGGTATCCTAGAATTCTGCCTGTTCTAAATACTGTAATAAAATCACCTGCTGTTATGTGGATGGAGACACCATTTTGTTATAGGAAAATATTCTCAGTAGATTTAATTGCGTCAGTGTCTTCAGGACTTCTGGAATGGTCTGCCATAAAACTGCTTCGAAGTTATAAGAAGAGACAGAAAATGTTTAGGACGTTCTGTTCCCAGCTGTGCCACTGACTTGCAGTGAGAATTCGGGTAAAGTTCTGCACCTCCAGGTTACTAAGGCTGCACGTCTCTGGGATAAACTTTACATTTTTAAAGCAGAGGACTATCTTTTTGAAATACATGTGTTTGAAAAGCTGGTTAAGTATTTGCACATAAATTAGCTTAGCAGGTATGAGAAAGTATAGGGAGATTTTTATGGAGC